TATCTGAATGCCGCTTCAATGCCATACTCAATATCTGAATGCCGCTTCAATGCCATACTCAATATCTGAATGCCGCTTCAATGACCGAAACACAGTTTTTCCAGGCTATAGTTGGGATTGACTTTTTCAGGGTGTGCATCCATATGTTAAGATGTGTCTTGTGTGTTAGAAAACAAATACAATTAAGAATCATTCAGAGTAAAGGATTCCATGCTTGTGAGTGTCTTACCAAAAATTCGGACGGAATGAATGGTATTGCTGGTAATACTATCCTCTCTTTCCAGTATCAAAGACTGTAAGTGGCAGGAGAGAAACATAATTGTGATGGATGATGTCGTAATCTCACCGCCTTATCAGGCAGAAAACTGCAAAGGCAAAGAAGGCAGCGCTTTAAGTCACGTACGCAAAATAGTGAGTATGATTGTTTTAATCTAATTGGTCAATAATTAAGTAAAGCAGTTGATGCGCAAATGAGTTATCAATCACAAGTGAAAGCCTTACTGAATGTCTGCTTCAAGAATTATACACATCTATAAGCTTTCATTTAGTAGGAAAGCTGTACTAGATAATTTAAATGCTGTTTATAGATTTGTTTTTAAAGTAGTTTAAGATCTATCATGTTTTAAGACAACTGATACATGTATTATTACAGTTTTTACTTTTGAATGACTTAACATTGACAAAAGAGCAGATTAATCTTTTTTTTTTTTCCGGGTTTTGTGACCACATGTGAAATTAAATGCTTCTCATTGGTTGATTTGTTTAATGTATTCCTTTACTTCCAGAGGTGTTGGGAAGGATTTAGGCTGTAATGCTTTTTATACATGTTACACCTCAGTTACCTCCCTGCAGACCTGTTTTCACTGATAGGAATTTCTATTTTGTTGCAGTGTCTGAACAGTGTTAAGCTCCGGCATACGAATGCTTAACATTTTGGACTGACTGATTTGGGTGCAAATGAATATATATCCACTCACAAAAAGCAGAGAAATTATTAGACTTGTCTACTTGACTGGGTCCCACCAGTAATGGAATACAGCCTAATTGGGGAATGTTTCTGATCTCAGCTTATAATAAATCCTGCATAGGATCAAATGTGTAGCACTGTCCTCTCTTATCTCTAAGGCAGATAAGAACATCTCCTGTGACTTGTGACTTTTGAACTTTTTAGATATACTTTACAAAATAATTCCATGATTAAAATTATTCTCACTCTTACTTCTTGGTAGGTAAATATTCAATGCTAGAGGCTTGCTTTTTAAAAAAGACAGTGGGATAGTGGAAATATCAATGGAATTTTAATGAAATGTTGTATAAATATAAAACAGGCACCAGTGTCATTCTAATCCCAGACTATTTTTGTTTTAAGAGGAAAAAGATATCCACTAATTACCCTAAAAATGAGTGATCAGTACTGGCTGATTTCTTTACCATTTTCTTGACAAAGGTAACCTGAACATTCATGTGTGGGTGTTTCATCCAGTGAGGTGGCTAATATGCCTTTATCATCTCACAGGTTGAGAAGCATTTCAAAGATGCGGAAAGCCAGAAGTCAGTGCAACACTCACCAGCTCAGCCAGCACACAAGGACTCTGCTTTGACATCCTGAGCCAGTGGTTTGGTTGCAGGGAAGACAAAAATTGGCAGTTATTTTATTTTATATATATATATATATATATATTTTCCAGTTGCCAGAAAAGGGTGGTTCTTCATCCTTTGCATCTGTGTGAGACCCCAAGGACCTTCCAGTTGCGAGAGGGGGAACTTTGATGGAAAACAATTGTACTTTCTGACAATTTTCCAGCTGTTCCCTTTCACGCTAGAAGATTCCATCCATAATTTTTTTTTCATGGCACTTATACCACTTTTTCATTTTAAGATAGAAGATGGAAACAGAGCATTTGACAGATCTCATCTTGTTTACATCATTATACGCTTGTACTTTTAAATTTGACTGCAAAGACTGACTATTCCTCCTAAAATAACTATGAAAATAAACAATTGAAGAAAATGGAAAAAAACGAAGACTGAAATCATTCAGTTTTACTACTTTTCATCTATTTCAGAAGGATACTGATACGTTTTAAAACCAGGATAAATAAATGATTAATGAATAAAGACATTTTCAAAATATACTTCCTGTGGGTTTTGCAACAGTTGTAATGAATTTAAATTGTTTGTAACCCTGTCTCATTTTTCATTTTCAAATTTACATTTGAAGGATTGGTGCCCTTAGATGCTGATATCTTGTTTTAACTTTGAAAATACCTTAAGCTGTGTAGTTATAAATGTGGTACTTAATTTTTAATATTAAAATGCCCATTTCGTTGTACCACTTAACTTCTGGGACCATTTCTTTTTGAAATTTATCTACTGTCACAACCCTTAGTTGTTTTTTTAGTGTTCAGAATCCCTACAACATTCCTTGCTGCTCTAGCCAATGACTGAAGTCACGTTCAGTATTTTTTTTAAGTCACTTTCTCTGGTGGTCTTTCTGGACAAATTAATTTTTTTATTTTTAAAAACAAAACAACATTGTTTCCAACTCGGAGCTCTTGATCTTGAGTGAAGTGATAGACACCCCTGTCATACTCAATCAAGCATTGTGAATGTCTGTTGTAGATTCTTATGAGTATTTTATTTTTCAATGGTAAAGTGAAAATAAAAAAAAATCAAGTCTTCACCCTTTTCCTTTGTCCTGTACAATGGATGAATAGATAAGTTTGAATGCAGAGATGGGTTTGTATAGACTGGCTCATTGACAACCGAGGTATTCTGTGTAATTCAGGAAATACTGTAGGCTATGTCAAAAGTCAAACTTAAGTATATAAATGGCAATTTAAATATAGAGGTTAATATTAAACAGATCAGGGTCAGTTAATCCTAGTGACACATACATCCGCCTACGGCTTCAACTTAGCAGCCAATTTCACGGCTGGGGGGAGGGGGTGCTGATGGTGATGCTTGCATAGGGCTCCCCATCGGCTTGGACCGGTAGTGGATCAGCTTTACAGAACACTGAGGAGTCTCGTGTCGGCCGCATGTATCAAAAAAGCTCTTAAAAAGTCCTCCCCTTCGTAGAGTGGGCCAGTCCACTGTGCGTAATACAAAGATGAAGACACGGCTGTGCAAGAAGACTAAACCATTAAGCAGGAAAGGGAGTTACGGCGGCAATAATTTTGGAAACCTATTTGAAATCTATTTTTTTTCCTGATGAAAGCGTGGTGGTAGACTATAACATCTGTATTGAACATGAACATGACAATCCTTCGACAAAAACAAAATGCTGTGAAACGCAGTGTTGGAATTTTTTGCAGAGCAATTAATATGACCTAATTAGCCTGGTCGGGAGCAAACACGTGTGGGGGGGGGGTTCTTACCTGCAATTTTACTATATGGCTACGTGCCTGTATACAGTTGACCAATGGTTTCTTTGTATAGTGTGAATAGAAGGTGAATTGTAATTCTCTTCTCGAATCAACCTACTTTTTTATTTGTTATCGAAACCCAACATAGAAGGGTGACTACATTCAACTCATAAAAACAAAAAAACAAACAGGTGATAAGAATGAGTTACAACATGTCTGCAACAGAGGGTGGCAGTGTTGACTCACTTCCAGGGTTAGGTGTTTAAATCCTACGGCTGCTCTGTGACTGAGTGATGGGTGTGGCAGCGTTAATCACAGCTGCTGCCTTTTCCCACGGCAGATGCATAAACACCAATGGGGTAGAAGAGAAGGAAGGAGGAGAGAGTTATGTTGATATGATTGCTGCCTTGGAAACGGTTCTACGTAGGGCTGCAAAAAACGATTCCTGGTCTTGGAGGAATGTCTTATGAGGAGAGGTTAGCTGAGCTGAATGTTCAGCCTTGAGCAAAGGAGACTAAGGGGGGACATGATCCAGGTCTATAAGATTCTAACAGGTCTGAATTCTGTTCAGCCAAATGGCTATTTCAATATTAGTTTAAATATTAGAACTTTTGGCCATAAGTGGAAATTAGCGGAAGAACATTTTAAACTGAATTTGAGAAAACACTTCTTTACACAGCGTGTAGTTAGAGTATGGAATAGTCTTCCTGCTAGTGTAGCGGAAGCTAAAACCCTGGGTTCCTTTAAATCAGAGCTAGATAAGATTTTAACAACTCCGAGCTATTAGTTAAGTTCTCCCCAAACGAGCTTGATGGGCCGAATGGCCTCCTCTCGTTTGTAGATTTCTTATGTTCTTATATCCTGTTTTAATTTTGTTCTCTGTTTTTGGCCCATGTTCTGAATTTTTACCTCACTTAAACTTATAGTCATATCTGTTATTTTGTCCTAATTTGAGAGACAAAATAACAGTGCAGGCTTTGAGAATAAAATGTTACTGTATTGAAGTTAAAATCACACCAAAATAGCGAATAGTCAGTTGTACGCCTGCAGAGTTAACTCCAGAAGGACATGTTCGCAGAGAGCTGACTGACGAGGAGATTTTGATTTTGAGTCAAGTCTGCACACTCATTACATGTATGTAACAGTTTTATTATCTTGTAATTAGTCTGTAGGATTTGGAAAACTACCTCAACGCTTTCATGTAGCTAATTTTAGTTTTTATCATGGAATAATACAGATTTGCCATAAGACGTCTTGTATATATCTTCTATATATAATAAACCTTTTGGTTTTCCAGGTATAAGGCTTAACTTTCTTTTTGTTGTGCAGTGCTGTGGCTAACTTGGAGAGTTAGGGTTAGGGTTAGGGTTAGGGTTAGAGTTAGACCAGGGGTCATCAACCTTTTTGAAACTGAGAGCTACTTCACGGGTGCTGAGCCATACGAAGGGCTACAAGTTTCAAACGCCCTCCTAAACTTATCTAACCTTCATGTATAATAAACATGTTTTAAATGCCTTTTTTAGATATTGTCATTTTCAAATCTCTATAAATGCAAATGTGATTAAAGAAGAATAGCAACAGGATCAAATCAAATTTTAGACGCTGCTCACTGGTGAGTTCTATTTTTAGAACGGGTCTGCGGGCGACTCATGTGGTCCTTGGGGCCGTCCTGGTGCCCGCGGGCACCATGTTGGTGACCTCTGGTTTAGAGAAACGCAAACAGCAGCGTGTGTCATTTGTTGCCTGGCTGTAGGATTCAGGTCCTATAGGCCTATATGACTCTAATCAGGACAAGCAGTTGGACGATGGATGTCCGCAACAGCTTCCTGTTGACCGTGTTTAGTATTACTTAAACTTGTGTTTTTGGAATCCATGTGAATTTATAGTTATAACAAACCAGATTATGGTGTATTTCATTAAATAATTAATACTCTCTTCAACAGCCAGTTACCATGAAAAAACTTGCCTTATTTATTAGAAATTGTACACACAAAAGAACAGATACTAATCCGAAAATAAAGTTCAAAAATATGTAGAAAAATATAAATATGCATATAATTTAATTAAAAAATATCTCCTAGTTGGGTTCATATTTTGCACAGACTTTGAAGTATTCTATTGATAGTGATTTATCTCTTGTATAGCAAAAAAATTAAAATGCAAATAAATAAATAAATAAATAGATAGATAAATAAATAAATAGGCACATCATTTAAAACTTAGTATGCTGTATATTTGGCGTCACATTCTATGCACTCTGAAGTATCCATCGGTCATGATCTGTTGTAGAGCGAAGAGTTCCCCCTATCGCTGACTGCTGCCGAAGAACTTGCTCAGATATTCTAGATTACGTAGCACCTCCATCCGCACAATTTCCCACGCGCAGCGGCTGTGTCCCTAAAAAAACAATGCATACAAACCAAGGGTTTCACTTTAGATACATATGTATGTTTATATATGTTTGTTTGTTTATTTATTTAACAAGAAAACTGATATCTAATATACGTTACCTTATCTTCCAGAATACCGTTCAGCTTTTCAAAATATAACTTCAGGTTGGCATACTTGGTTTCAGAAGAACCGGACAATTGTTCTCCAACCTTTTGAAGGCAATAAAGAAAACTATTGATTGCAGTTGGTATTTAAACCTTTAGGAATTACTAACAAGTAGTGTTACTTATTACTTACGCAAAATTGTAATCTTTCTACTGTCCGATCTATCATATTTTGAAAGAGATTAAGCTGATGAAGGTCCCAAGTCGTAGAAGACAGGTCCTTCTTAAAAATGTTTTGCACGCTCTTCAGAGCCTCGTAAGCCATGGACAAGCGAGTGCTCTCATTCTGCAATACATATATCAGAAAACTGTAATGCAAACCAAGCAATGAATGTGATTATATCAGCGCATGTGCACGTTTTTAGGGTTTTACTGTCATGGTCCCTGACTGCTGTCTGCACGCAGAACAATGTAAAGTTGAAAGAACGTTCACAGCGTCAGAGAAGAAATTTAAATACGGAAAAAGACAGCAAAACATGATATAACATAATAATAATAATAATAATAATAATAATAATTAATAATAATAATTAATAATAATAATAATAATAATGAATGGATAACTTACCGGTGTTTCATCAAAATGGTACACGGTGTCATCCAACATCTGTCCGGGATTCTCGTTAATGCACTCAGACGGAAATCTTCCGCCCTGTGGGGTAAAAATCAATTGTTTTACATGCTGTAAAAGACAATAACCCCCCACCATTTCTGCCCAAATAGACACGATGCTTACCATGCTTTCCAGTAACTTCTTGGTCTCCTCATTCCGTATCCCCAGTACGTTTCTCGTCCGCATGCATGACATGCTTGTGCTGCAGTCGAAGAACGACAGAATGATACAGACGCGGATTAATGTCATCATACTCATCTTCGTTTTCAGTGAATACTGCGCTTAATCTAAATGTAACAGGCTTGCTCTTTATCTGCAGGATTGACTTACCTCTCGGCTTTATAAAGCGTAATACTTTCTATGTTGTGGTTAAACCGTATGATTCTTGCGGTGAATAGAATAGAAATCGAAATTTCTTTCTAATTTGTTTTTAAACGACAAAACACATGTCACTCATTCACACAATGGTGGTCTTTATGGGAATGTTTGTGGGTGTGTGTGTTTTTTGCTACGCAGTGAATCACTACAACAAATCAGAATTAATCACATTTACCACGACATATTTGAATAACTGTTCATTAAAAATGAATAGTAAGTGATTCATGTACAAAATTAATGTTATTCTATGTGGTAAATAGTATTAGTACTAAATAGTTTCGACATTTGGATACTTTCGCTTTCGTAGTTAAGCTACGTTGTTTGTTTTACAAGGCAATCATCAGAATGAAGTTAACTGTAACTGTGCACCTGTAATTGTTAATGAAATTACAATTCGTGTTTTCTTGAATTGTAATTGATATAGTACTAAATTAGATACTTCAGGACAAGCATGATAAAGGCGTCCAGATGAAAATCACCGTGAAAGTTAATTCACTTCCTATTTGAAGAAAAAGTGTTAATACATATTTTCCCGTTTAAAAAACATTAAAATGATTACCCACAATTCCCCAATGTCGGCAGAAAACTCTTTTCTGATTATGTAGAACTTTTTTCGACCATCTGCTCAACAACACGGGAGTGACGACGGAGTCACACAAATCTCAATTAATTAAGACAATTGTATGGAAAACATACTACGAGTGAACGGCATCTATTTCAATTGTATATGCTGTATGCGTCTGTCTGTCTTAAAGGAGATTATAATAGGATATGCGAAAAAAAATATTCCCAAGCAAATGTACTTGTATAGCTGCAAATGGAAAATAAAGCATCGTTTCGTTTCATTTTAGCCTCCCCTGTCAAAATAACATAAACAATTTGATTCTTAAACAACCTGTAAGTTGAATACCTTGCAAACTAATTACAACACTGCACCAAAAGCTAATACCGATCGTCATTCTTAACACTGCAGGCGTGGAACGCGCGGGGGACGGACTGTGTTCCTCACCAAAGCCAAGAGTTTAACGAATAGATGTCTGAAGTAAAGGCACAACTGCCCTTCCAAACGGTTTGGCATCAAGGTCAGCAGATATTCACACACCAACCCACACCAAATAAGGTGGAGGCACACAACCCCTTAATCAGTCATGCACTCCAGCCCTTGCTATGGAAGGAGGCCTCAGGTCCTTAATCTCATATCTGTCTCACATTCTTGCTTCATAAAACCACCTTTTCTTAGAGTTATGTTAATTCTTATAGTCAGGTTAACAGAGGCCTAATTGTAACGGTTCATTACAATATGATGTTTATACGTGTAATTCTACATTAAATACAATATTCTGACTATATATGCATGATTATACGTGTTGCTTACAATATCCTTATTATATTAATATTGATTCTTAATAGTAATTAATAGATCTTAATATTCAGAAGAATAAGTTGTAAATTTGTACTTTAACTTCCAAAGATGGCATTATGATTAATTCTGAAGTTAGAGATAAGGCTAGGGTTTTCTTTAGGTTTAGCGTTAAGGATAAGTTTGGCATTAACTTTAAGACTGTTAGCCTTAGGGTAAGGCATAGGGTTTGGGGTAAGGATGGCTCTTGGGTAATGATTAGGACAAGGGATAGAGTTGGCATCAGGGTTAACACTACAGTTAGTGTTAGGGATGGTGCTAGGATTAAGCCTAACCCTAGCCTTAGCGTACGGAGGCTAATCCTTTCACTATGACCCTAATGCCAAAGCTATTTTTATGTCCTCTACCTCCAATACCCCTATAACGTGCTCTAACCAAATGTAACCTCACACCCTAAATTTAACTCTATAACTCTAAGAAAACCCGTTTCTGCCTCCGCTTAACTTTCACTACGCAAAACCACAGGAAATCCCAACGACACTGTGCAGGGTTCCCCATTCCCCATTTCCACTTCTGGTGGGTTGCCACGTGCGGAGGCTTAACAGTGTAGTATTAACAGCTGACAGCCAGTCTCAATGGGGAAAAAAGACTAAGATGATTTAACTCCAGAAGGTTTCATATTAGTGCCTAGCGATGCATGAATCGAATTACTTCATTTTAGATTTCATTTTAAATTTAGACAATGGATACGCGACAAATAAGATGAATGGAAAAAGAAAACAATATAGGTGCTACTGTTTATTAATATACTTCACAAACACAGGACAAAAAATGAAATTTGAATGTGTCAAAAAAGACACAATGTTCACTGTGGTACATGTGAGTAGTTCTGTTTAGGCCAAACTTTCACATTTTTATGGAAAACAAATGTGGATCCTAGGTACAGATTTCATAAAAATGAACAGATTTCAACGTTAAAAAAAGCAACTGGTCCTATAATACATATCTAAAATTTATACACATGGAGCTAATAAATTGCCAAAGATCAAACCCTACCAATATGTAAATATAACTGGGGGGGAAAAACTGCTCCTAACTGTCACTTTCAATTTTGATACAGATCATCTGTTGATCTGCTTCAGGACAAATCTGACAAATTCAGAGTCAGATCAGGAAAGTCTTCGTCATCCTCCGTGCCCCAGGACACGTTGTTAACCTAAAGATGAACGTAAAAAGAACCAACAGCAAATAATGTGCATTTTCTTACTAAATATACATTATATATATTATATCCCTGACTTTAAGACTTTAATAAGCTGTTTATGCAGTAGGATACATTAATGTCCCTCCTAGGTAAAATATACTGACATAAGTAAACATAAAAGGACCCTGTGACTGACAAGAAGGTCACCGGTTTGAATCCCATCCTTGGCAGAATAGTCACATGTCCATTGTGCCCTTAACCCCCAAGAACGCTCTAGATAAATGACCTGACCCTCGGCCCGGACCCCGCGATTTGCTCTGAACTGTACATATTTGCATGTATGTCTCAAAGGAGACACCTGTACTCAGGTTTGTGCAAATGGCAAATAAAGCAGACTTTCATTAATGAGGTGTAAGGGGTAAATGTTAGTATGCATTATATCCAACACCGCAAATGTGAATTCTATAACAAAAATACTACATATTCTCATTTGCATTACTAAACCACGATACCTTGATCATTCCTTCCAAATCTTCATCGGATGTAATCTCATCTGCATCTAGTTTACAATCGACCACAACTCTTCCATTTCCTGAAAGACAGAAAATGTGAGAACAGTGCCAGAATGTAACAGTACTAAACTTTCCCAGTTCTGATACACCCCCCCCCCCCCCGAACACACATATATGCAGGCTGTGAGAGATCTCTTTTTTTCTGGACTAAGAATAGCAAAAATGCAACACAGAGTGCCACTCTCTGCAAGTACGAGTAAATCGCACTGTAAGAACTGGGCTGATGTACACTGATGTCCACCGACCTAAAACTATCAGCAAAACTTTTCTGAAGGCGTCCATCATGGCTCGGTCCCGGGCCCGTTTCGGCAGCAGACCCCTTTTGATGGCGACCTCCTCTGGGAACAAGTAAATAAAATAAAACAGGGTCACTGAAATGTTACCTAGACCCTACAAACATTTCCAGGTAATTGTGAATTAATACAGTGAGGACCAGCTAGACTTTCTGGGCCACCTGACAAAATGTCACCTTGAGCACCTCTGCCCCCCTTCTACATTATATAATTTTATGTATTCAGGGGCCCCTGTGAAGTGCTGAGCCCCCTGAAGGGGCCTCAACTGCACCCCTGATCCAGTGTTCAAGGCTGTCTCCCTCACATTCGGACACTGTGCACTTGCCAGCTAAGTGGCGCTAACAGCTAACAGGAGACCGACTAGGAAAGCTGGGCTGCTGCTGGAAGAGCAACGCTGTGCTCTTACAATGGTGCCGTCCTTTGGATGAGATGTAAAACCGAGGGCCTGACTCTCTGAGGTCGTAAAACATTCCGGGGCACCTTTCGGAAGACTAGGGGTGGTACCACATTATATAATAACGCAACAAAAAATGTAGCATTTTCATTAGATACATTTTGGCTTTCATTTTCCAGACACTTTTCGGCTTTTTCAATGTAGCCGTGACGAGTTTCCTTACAGCGATTAATCGAGCAGCATGTGCAAACTGGCCATCAAAACAAGAAACGGACAATACCGGAAGGCACCGTCACTGTGTGTGGAAACACCGTGCTGTCACTCACGCACACCTGGGCTGCCCTCGAAGACCTCTTCGGCAATTCCGACACCTCGACAGGCCACTCCGTGGTGGGGGAAGTTGAGTCCCACCACGCAGCCGTATTTCAGCGCGGGCTTCTGGGAGTCCGCATTCACCTGCAGCTCCCCAGTGTCACTGTCAGAAATGTTTTTTAGCTGCCCACAGACAAGGGGAAAAGTCAATATGCTTCCAAGTAAAAGGAAAAGCCCCGTTCCACCATTATATCCTAGATGCACATCTTACATATTTTGTAGATGCTTTTTATCTGAAGTGACAGACATTCGAGAAAACAGGGTCAACCAGACAGCCAGCGATTAGGGATAAAGGCCTTCGCTCAAGAGCCCGACGGCGAAATCACTCTGCCGACCCCGAGATCACAACTGGTAGCCTACCAATCACAGCCATAGCATTCTAACCTAGACACTAATTCCGCCACACACTACAGTATGGCACTATGAGCAAAGTGGAAGGCAAAAAAGACAGGAACTACAAGAAAAACTGGCATAAAAAACAATGAATGTCTGCGAGAGGCATGTGAGGATTAAAACAGGGCACACCATTCCAAGTAATCTCACACTTCCTTTTGTTACCGTAATAACTCGACTGGTCCATCCATTGAAGCCAAGGTAGTAATTGGCGAGCTCCTGGCATTTGCTGACGCTGAGGGATTTCACATTGTGAAATCCGTTTGAGCTCTGTCTGGTGCACAGCTGTACCTTCAAAAAAGGTTCTGTGTTAGAATTAAAAGATATTTGTCCGCCATTCTATAATTATGTTTTTGAAAAGCCCTTCTAGTGCTGGTCTTCACTGTCACGGCTCAAATTACGACGACTGAATATGCAAAAGCAGCACATTTTAATGCATGATATCAAACAATAATTCAGATATTTTACTATTTTAAATCTTAGTGTTTTAATTTGCCACAAGTCCATTCATTTTCTACCCCATATTCACTGTGCACCTACGTTCAGGGTACACCAGAAGAAGCATAAACTAAAGACAAACTACAGTCAGACACCTAACCTAGCACCTCTGTGGGTGACATTGTAGTTCTTAGTGGAACAAGAGAGACAGAACGTGGACATTTTATATAAATGATCTGAGGACTAATCACTTGTGATTTGTGTCTGGGACTGGTCTAGCAAAGCCTCAGACACAAATTGCAATATCCATTTTATTTGTCATTACTATTTTGCAAACAATTTCTAAATCAGAATTGTGGCTTGGTGGCTGCAAAGGAAATTTTAATTGCCGTTAGTCAGACATGAGTCAGTTTGCAGGTCATTCATTTAATGATCGCTCATTATTTATTGCATATCTTCGGACGTTACTTAACAGTGTACCTTCAAGGGGGATTTCTGAAACAGGCCCTTTGCATGCGTGGACTCCTGCGCCCTGGAGGCCTGTACCGCCGAGTAGAATTTGACAATCGCGTAGAATCCCGGCAGGGCAACCGTAGCGTTCGGAACCACTTTCAGCCAGTAGAGGGCGCCAAATCCCGAGAAAATATTCCAGAGCGACCCCTGGATAAGAAACAAAGCGAAAGACCGCAGCTATGAAAACGTTAATAAATTGTCATCTGTATATGTGACACGTTACAATATGACAACTGCATTTTTAGTTTAAATGATTCTTACTGTGCATTTACTAATTATACTTTTATTATATAACGTCAGCAGTTTTGCAATATGTAATTTGGACTAAGACTTATTAGCAGCGAACTTTCAAAATGCGAAAACAGTTTGCTAATATTCGCTGGCATAACTCGCGTTACCAGAAATGTTCGTGTTCATTATACCATACTCACGTAAATGTATGCTTCTGAAAAGGTTGGGAGAATTCCACATATAAACAATGTTTTGTTGTTTTCGGTGGGGACTCTAAATTCAACAACTTCTGCATCATAGTTCATAACCGTCTCTAACCAGAATTTCCCCGTAAGATTACTAGCCAACTAAACCATAATCCGGAACTTTGCCCGTGTGGCTGAACATTTACCGCCAAGCGATTCGAGTAAAAGCGCGCATAGCGCACTTCCTTTATGGCCATTACTTCCGCTCTTGACTTTTCAAAATAAAAGCTCCGAATGCTCCCTTATTTATTTGTTTGTTTATGTTTTGTTTTTGAACATGTAACTTAATGAATCATGATTTCTTTAAATTGTCTATAACTTGGTAGAAACCCATATTAAGACTATTTAGTATAGGATGATTCCATCTCCACCTAGATTCCTGTTGTTGACTAAATATTTTAAACCGCTATGCACTGGAAATAACAGCAGGACACATAAACGTCAGTGCCCCAGAGAAAACGATAAAAAAAACTGTTTACATAGTTGCAGATCTTTATCAAGCACTGATAAGTCACTCATTTAAACTGGTGTTACTAAATTTGTCCTTAAGTATTCACTGTAAGTATTGTTAATATCAGCATTTAAAAACATAATGTAGATGTTGGCTCAGTATTTAAGTAGTTAACACTACTGTACAGTTTACTGTACTATACGTTTCATACGTCAAGTGCAGGTTGGTTGAATTTTACGTTTTCTGTATGTGTGTAGAGTTTGCATCTTCTTGTCCAGTTTGACTAACTAAGTTTAATTAAGGCAGTATCCTCCGATAATAAAGTATATAACTTCAAATACAAGATTTCCAAATATATATTCCACAAAGCTCATGATATTTCAATATCTTAAAATTAACTTAATACAGTTTTGGCTTCGATCAAATTAACATTTCCATACATTTCTCCCCCACATCGATCTCTACTGTCCATATTGCCATCGACAATGTAGGCCTATATTTTGGGGAAGAATCAGCAATGCATAATTCTCAAATATTCGATAACGTGTATAACATTAAAAAAGTCTTACAATGCAATACTAAATGAGCTTATAATAAATCTTATTTACCAGAAGCACAATAGTTGTCACTTAGCTGTTCTCTACTCAGTTTGCGGTTCGTTCTGAGGTTTACCTCCATTGTTTTTGCGTTAGCTCTGCTTTCGCTAGTTTTCTTCTTTGCTCGCTTGTCGATTTTGTGAGAAATTTAACAAAAAATGATTGAGGCGAAGAAGCGAATAAGTACTGATCACCAGAAGACATTCGGCTTTTATTGCATGGAAATATTTTGGATCCCATAGAGCCGAAAGTGATTTTTCGGCAGTGCTTGGTGTTTGTTGGCATAAATCCTGGAAAAAAGTGTAAGAGAATCTGATTATGCTGCTGTTGTTAATTTAAATATACACACAGGGCGTCATGGTTGTCGTTAAAATGAAATCATGTTCTGTGAAAATCGATTTTTAAAGTAAATAAATAAAAATTAAATTGTCAGTGTCCTAGTAGAGACTTTTTGGCTAGTTAACCAGAATGTGAACTACTGCCCTGCTTTTCCCGTTAAAGATAGATTCTATAATTAGTAAGATAGATATAGGCCTACGTTCTATTTGGCTACAGTTAATTATTTTATTAATGTTATAATAATGTTATTATTATTATTATTGGCAGCGACGAGTAATATTTCATTTTGAATGGAAAGAAATAAATCTTTTGATCAATATTCCATACACGTTTCAACGGGTCAATCGAATATTCGAAAATGACTGCAGAAATCGACTAGTAATTCTACCTGAAATGCCCATCCCTAGTTCAGATATCCATGAATATTAACACAAACTTTTTATACTGCAGAAGACAACAGCTTTATTGAAAAAAGATTGCAGAAGAAAAATATCTTTTTGAGGAACATGTAAACAACCAGGTTAAAACAGATTTAAGGAAATGAAAAGAAAATTATACAATAAAACCTTTAAACAAAAGTCTAGCATTCTTTTTAAGTGGATGTAAATTATATTAACATTTTTCAAAAATATTAATTTTCTTTGGACAAAATGTTTCAATGGCATTTCAAACACACTGTAATTTTCATTTCACTTCTGAAAGGTAAATTTTATATAAATCTGAAACATGCACTTTTAAACCGTTGCAAACAAATCGTTTTTTAGTAACACACACCAGAATATTTACTTTCACATCTTTCTTTTTGCTCTTAATTTCTGTTGGAATGTGTTTATTAGGAGCTAGATTGGTTTACTATGGCACAGTGTGAGATGACATAATTTAAAACTAAAGAAAAAGTTTGTCTAAGCATTTACATCTCTGACATAAGTAGAAAACTTGTCTAAAACCAAGAATTTAAAATATAATCCTTGTGTTGCATTTTATTTTATATTGATACTGGTTAATCTTTTTTTGGAACCCCAAAACAAACAAATCAGAAAAGCTGTGATTGATTAAGCAGGGAATACTAAGTCTATAAGTATCTACGTAATAATATTATGTAACCTGGTTTGCCGGCTTTTAAAGTTATCCTTACAAAGTACAATTACTCTCCCCGAAACGCCTACACTTTGTAACCTTCAGGTAGGTCTCCACTTTGTGCATATCTTTCTTGAAGCAAGCCAGTAGCCCGTAATTCTTCATCCGTGCAGCATCAGTCCTCAGGATGACATCAAAGTTCTCATAGGGATCCATCAGCATTGACAAATGAATACCTCCTTCACCCAAAGTCTGAAAGACCAGCGAACAGCATGCAAAGAAGCACAGACAGGTCATGGTGAGGTTCACCTGAAAGATCTTTTTCATCATCAACTTCAAGCAATCTATTCAAGGAATTCTAAATGAACAGGTGAAGCAAATGAAACAACATACAGAACAACACGCAACAAGCATTGATTACAACTACAGGCTTTTTTCTGCTTAATGCTTTCATTGATTTGTCTTCAAACAACAAAAGGAAATATCTCGCTTTGGACCATTTTACTTTTGCAGACAATACAGATTTAACAGGTTGTGATTCTCCTCAAAGATAAGAAGTGATTTTCGCAAATAAAAAATGGCCTCGTCTCACATTAACGTCTCACCTGAATAACACACAATCGTGTATCTGTTGTTTGCACAATGCCTCTGTATTCTACCGAATGAATATTCAAATCATAACAACCATGCTGGCTCAATGGGCTACACTTTTGCTTCACATCTACATTGCTGGGGGGTTTACATCCCACCTGTGTGTGTGTGCGTGTGTGTGTGTGTACATGGCTTTCCTCCAGGTACTCCAGTATGCTCCCAAAGTCATGCAATTAGGCAGAAAGTGTGTGTGAGTGTATTCGTGAGTGTTTGCATGTATGTGCCCATTTTCAGCTCCTCTGTAACCCTGAGCAAAATAAGCGGTTAGGAGACGGATGAAATGCAATCTGCACATTAAACATCGTTCTGTGCAGAGTATGCTTTACCAGGTCCTGCACAGAATACACCGTGGAGGTTCTTATATATGTTCTTACTCTCATCAGTTCATCAATTCCCCTGCTGAGGTCTTCCAGCTTCTCGTAAATGCGGTCAGAGGTTCCAAACATCAGACTGTTAGAAAAGGCTTCGCTGAAGGTCTTGAGGGGATACACCCAGGACTCGATGAGGGCGGAAGAGATGCGCAGTAAATCCCCATCCTGACCAAAGCCAGTAAGAAAACCATGAGGGAGTCATTTTATCACAAAATGTCAGTGGCTTTGAAGGTGGATATAAATCTTTAATTGGCTGCGTTTTGTTTCTGCTTTAGGGATAATAGATATTTGTGGAATACCAACTATAGGAAAAAGTACATTGTCATCAGGCATAAGCAGACTTGTATTGCTAACTTACTATTCACTTCCTGGTTTGTAGGTATTGCTATTTCCTTATTATGCTGTACACAAGCAGACACCAGCTGCAGCATCACTTACGGATCTCATCTGTGTTTCGTCCTTCCCCGTGGGGGCGGGAATGGAGTCAGAGTAGCACCCAGCAAGTGGAGAGTTATCACCGAGCTGCCGTGACCCAGGTAACAGAGTGCGCTCCTGAGAAGCGCCGCATTAGGCGAAAAGTGCATTTCACGTGGTGTATGCAATACATTGAGTGCACAAAACAATTAATTACTTCATGGATTTTATAATTGACATAGCTGGAAAAGTGAACTAAATGGCTTTGAAGGACGACGACACGATTGACATACAACTTACAAATTCTTTGTAGATATCAGCAGCCAGCTGGTGTAGGTGCTGTGCTCTGTTGACAGCATTGTTGAAGAGATTGTACAATGGGATAGTTTCCACTGGAGTCATAGAAAGACTAACCAGAAGAACTGGCCACAGCAAGATCCCTGAATGAACGATGAAGCAAATGCACATCAACACAAGCCATTAGTGAACTGGGTCAAACTTTACCATTGATTTACCATTACCTCATTAATTCATCATATTTTTTCTGACTTCAAACATCTTACTTCCCTAGAGTTAGACTTTCATCTTAAGTCATTCTAAAAGGACATACAAACTGACAATAATATCAATGACTTACCTGCTACCATTTTAGTCGGTTTACCGTAGAGTAACTTTCACCTGTCTGTGTTAGCAATATTTGGCGAGTTCCTCTTTAATGTTCTGTATTTATACGTTGTCTCTCTATGTATGTATGCATCACAGGGGAAACCTGAGAATTTTGGCCTGTGTTCTGTGTAATGGCTATATTCCGTTTCATCGCATTAACCTGATTTATATGCATTTTTGCGATATATGATGCATATGTACAGATACTGGTATACCCTTCCTTAGCGCCAAAGGTTAACAGCAGAACAACACGTTCCGGTCAAAACAAAGCACTTCTATCAAGAATCTAACACAAAGCCTGCTTTTCTTCCAATGCTTCTGAAGTCACCTAAAGGAATATTCTGCTAATGTCAGACACCAGGGAACTACATTTCATACACTTTAATACCTAAATCCTTATATATTAAGCTATTAAATAAAATCCATTCAAAATCAGGCTTATGAAAAATAGTGTGGTGTGTTGGCAGGTGTATATGACGTGATACAGTACTGCACAAAAGTCTAAGGCAGTGTTTAAAAGACGTTTGTGTTGCGTTCTTCTCATGCTTGTTTGAGTTTCCTTCTGCGGTCAAAGAAAACATACGACTCAGTGAATCGGCACCTCGAAATAGTCAAGTTTGTGTTCTTCCTGGGATCGGCTTGATGTTCACAGTGACGATTGGAAACCAGAAGTTAAACGTTACATTCCTCCTCAGATGCAGTGATATCCCTCCAAAGTCATCAGATATTTTTGAAAGCAATATTTAACTGAATAACAAATATATCATAAACAAGAACAATATACTGGTATAGCTGCAAAAGGAAAACACATCTTTCTCTGAAAATGTTTTTTTTCCCCCAAATGTGTTTCAACATTTCCTTTGTTTATACTGTAGTTAAACACCTTGGGAAATGAAAAAATAAAAACTGTAGTGTCTACATAGCCAGTTCACGGATTTACACGGCAATAACTCACATAAAGGTTACACTGTCAATAAACATGACAGCAATGAGATCATGTCTAATCTATATCCAGGGGAAAAGCGGGATTCAGTCATATCTCTAGCCCCTGGAACATGTCACCTGGCTTCTGATCCTATCCGATGTGAGAATCATCCATATTCATCGTTTGGGTGCAACAAGGAAACAAAATGTCAGGCGGATGCCAGGATTAATCCCTGGATGGAAAAAAAAAAACAGAATCTGATATGTTTTGCAGCTCTTTGTCTTAGGGCCAAGCCTGTTATTGTCATGGATGATATTGTTTTGCAGACTCCATTTCAATTCAGATTGCAGTCTGTTTGCTTTTAGTCAAATATAAATGAAAATGCCTAAGTTTATGGTAAAAGGATTACAGAGGTTTTGGCAGGAATTGCCACGCTGGAGATGTAATAGTTTTGTATACGTCAGTTGGTGGTTCAGACATGCTATTGGAACAAGATGAGGTTAAGTGCGTGTGCTTGTGTTTTTCCAGCGAGAGTTATCATAGACAAAGTTCAAACTCTGCCGTTTATATTTTTAGACAGCCCAGTGTCTCCAAACTAAAAATAAATTCATCCTCAAGTAAATCTTTGCATTAGCGATTTGTATCCTTTTAAGTTTTACAAGGGGTTTTTTTTTTTTTTTTTTGGTTTTGTTTAAAATTTTTTGGCATTGGTCAAAATACTTGATTTTAACGGTACAAAATATTGCTTCTTGGTACATCTGTAAAATATCAGACTTTCATATACTTTTATTTTTTAATTTTTGCAACGTGTTTCAAGGTATGAAAGATCAACTCAAGTTACAGGTTCTGGACTTGATGTATAGCTTTGAACTTGGATTTAGACCTTTAGGATTATTATAAATGAACACTTCCAGATTCTCTGAAAATAATATGTAAATCTTTTACATATTTCCTATATTCTATCCTCCAGATTTCCTGCTTTTTTTGACACTACCACTTTTTTAGGGGCATGGGATAAAGTTACAGTTTTTCCATTTTTAATTGTTATATTTATAGTTTGTATTTTGGCTTTTCAGTTATGCTTGAAGTTTTTTATAAAACTGCAGAGGACAGAAATAGAGATAGTTTACTAGAGACTTCCACACAGTGAAAAGCAGGTCAATGAAGTCTAGACCCTTCCGTCCGATCCAACACTGAAGGAACATTATCCACTAAGATATTCAAGGAACCTTGTATCTAGATCCGGACATGAGAAGGAGAAAGATTACCACAAGGTCAACATCAAACGCAAGTGGGTGGTTCCTTAAATCTGAGTCTGCTGCAGAGTGTCAGTGTGTGAAGATAGTATTGCACGCTAGAGGACGGTGTAGAGAACTGCTGATGAGCTTGTATCTCACTGCCCAAGGCATCTGCTGGCTCTGCTCCATATGTTTTAGGACTGGGGGGGGAACCTGGGGACAGGCATCGATACACTAACAGCATACGTGTACTTAAAAACCCAGTTCTGTCCAACTGAAATAGCAACAGCTGTGGACAGCTAGTACCTGTGATTAAAAAGGCATTTCCACAGTTAAAGACCAACAGCAATTACAGATACTAACCCTGCTAATAATTCCAGATTTTGACCAGCGTAAGGAATTTGTTTTTGTGCACATTCAGCAAATTATCTTACGTGCACTCCAGTCCTCTTCATGCAGTATAACATTAATGTTCATGGTAGTATCCTTTTAGGTATGACAGAATTGCTATTTTAGAGGACTGTCATCCAACTCCGTAATAACATTTGAGACTTACTTCCGAGACTGACTCTAAAAAAAAAAAAAAAGAATTTAGGTCTGATGCAGGAACAGGTGTAAGAGTTATTTACTTTTCAACACAAATGTTTTGAGCCAGATCGAGTCCCTATTGGGAGCTGTTATTTCTTAACTCACGTAAACACACCAATAAAACTGGATCTCTTTTGAGTGCTCTTACTATTTCGTGTGGATGGTATGGTGGCTTTGTGGATTGCACTATATCCTCAAATCTGAAGTACAAATCATCACTAAATTCACATCCTAAATAGAACAGTAGTTCATGGCAGAGTAATCAAATCCATACATTGAAACAGTATGAGCATCACAGCAATTTGCCAGAGGATGTACTGAAGGTATACAATCACTACTTAAAGCACACGTGAATCTAAAAGTAATAAGTGCCATATAAGGGGTGTATATGCTCTTGTTTATGCCATACAGTCATACTTAAGATCTTGAAGGTCTTAATAGGGTAATGGAAATATAGTGAAACCTAGGGCAAAGGGGTTCATGCTAGAGAACCAGTTACGCAAGGACTGGGTTCAAATCAGGGGGTCATGCATGGCTCAGCAGGCTAAGCCTTTGTGCCTGTGATCAGAGGGTCGCTGGTCCAAGCTTGGCCTCGACAGAATCGAATAGTTGTTTGTGAAGCCTTGAACAAGGCCTCTGATTTCCAGCTCTCTGCTGGGCCCTGTAAGGTGACTGTCCCCCCCCCCACCCTCCAAAGCCTGCTCTGACCTGCATGGAGAGCAACATGGGGCAGAGTGAACAGAGAATTTCCCCACAGGGATTAATAAAGTATCACTATACTATTCTGTAAACTCAACTGCGAGGAGAATACGGCAGACAAAACAAGGGTTATTTCATGGATTTGTCATGCAGGAACCCAACCCGGGAGCTGAAAGATTTCAAACACCCAAGTACCGGCAAGATCGTTTACCATCAAGAACTGCCAACAAACAGATACCTAAATGGCCTGTTCTTGGCAGACATCTACTGAAGCCTCCACTGGGAAATAGAGGCACAGGACTTTAAATAGCCCACCCCTAGTGGGGATAATTGTTACTTAATTGCTGTTTTGTATCAGCTGGCCAGTGCCCATGCATGTCGTATGGTCATGGCATTAAACCAGAAACCCTAGCTGGCTTTTGGGTTTACTTTATTTCATTGATTTTTTTTCTTCAAACATCTAATGCTATTGTTTCAAGTTGTCTAGGCATGATCTTCATTGAACCGCTGGACTTAATGGATGAAAATGTTTTGTTTTGGTTTTGCCGTGCATTAAAATGATTTATGTTTGGTAAAGCCTCACCTCACAAGCCGGTGAGGACCCTTGCGATACTGCTGACTGATGACCTGTTAATCACTGAACACCAAAACTGATTTCTTCAGCTCGCTGGTGTCCAAATGGTATCTGTTCTTTCATTTTAACTCAGTTAATATATATCCAGGCACACATAGACACCCACGTGTTAAGAACATTCACAATTTACACACGGATGCCAGTGGTGAATACCACATGCCTCAGTGGAGCAAGTGTGAGCCCACCTGCATACAGAAATACCTCAGACATGCTTGAAATGCCTGTTCCACACAGAAGGAAATATCTGCCTGTTGAAATTTTGCCCAAAGACCACTGAAATTGGGATTAGGAATCAGACTAGTACCAATGGAGCTCTCCTCTTGCCAACAGTGGATCTCATACCTTCTGTTCAAGACCTCAGATGGAGATCTTGGAGTCTCTCAGAATGCTGTGTAACTTCCCCCATCTTCTGCTGCCACAACACTCGGGTCCTCTCATGTTGCATCTCTTGGACAGCTGTTAGGACTCTGGGCGGAGAGAGAAAACCCACAGGAGAAGCCCTGCCAAGCAATTTTTCCTGGTGGGACAGGATGTCATCTTCCGCCAGTATGCTACTATATTGGTCTGTAGTATTACATACAACAAAGAGACAGTGAAGAGTGATCAGATGAATGAATGAAGTGCTGAAGCTGGACATCCTGTCTGCTGCGTAACAGAGATTTGCTGGACGGGTTGTTGAAAGGTTACTGCCTGTCCTTAAAAACTTACACTGTTTGGAAGGAACTTGAACTAAATCCCTCACATAAAGACCAGCACACTATTCCAATGCCCAGGGGATCTACAGTGGGCAGAGCCAGAGGTTAAGAGACCCTTAACCTGATAGATTCCACCATAATGCTATTTTTAAATTCCCAGTTGGATAAGAAACAACTTTGGAACCATTTGTACTACTGATTGGCATTACTTAGGTGGAGGTCAAAGACTCAAGATACTTACCTTATGCATATTTGTGACTTATATGCTTCAGGAAAGA